TGCGGTGGGAAGGCCGCTCATGTTCCAAGAGCATACGCTAACCAGAGCATCCATGCCCAAACCATAATTCCGCTCATGTTCCAAGAGCATACGCTAACCAGAGCATCCATGCCCAAACCATAATTCCGCGCGTGTTCCAAGAGCATAAGGTCACCCAGAGCATCCATGCCCAAACCATAATAACGCTCTCCAAGAAGCTTTTCTCGCAGAGGCGGACAGGCTCGGGTGCGCGTGCTGGGCCATGGTCCAAAGGACTTCCTCAACTCAGAGACAGACAGTGCCTGGCTGAAGCTGTAAAACAATGAGCTGTCTGTCCTTCCTTGAAACACAGGTTCAAACTTCCATGCTGAACCGCCTCCATGCGCGCGAAACCACAGCGACATCATAATTTTCGGGATTCATCTTCCAATGTTTCCCTTTGCTCGGTGGCCACTTTGAGTCCGCCGAATGCCGAATGTGCCACGCCTGCTAGCGATTTTGGCATGGCCTGACATCAGCTGCGCCTTTCGGCGCGCCTTTACGACCCGTAGTAACGTTGTTAAGGGTGCTGGGCAGCGTCGGAAGTTGTGCTATTGCTCTTTGCCTTACACGTAGGTCCCTCCCATTTACTGCGAATTGACCATGTTACCTACATACTGCTACACAAACACGGAATACGAGGCATCATCTTACTGCGGATTTTGGAGGTAGGAGACAGGGATTCGTCAACCTACCCGGCTTGATGGAACGAAGCAGCTTCACTTTGCTGGACTGAGGCCGCAGCTCATCTTGGTAGTAGAATTCGGCCTTCTTGTGCCGGCCACCGAAGAACAACGTCATCGGACCTACCCTGTGCCCCAAGGATTTCTCGTGCTTTCGCTGCTCGATGTATGCCTGAGGAAGACAGCTGCATGCAAGCTACGAAAAAAATTGGACAACGGGTGGTTTCCCTAAATAGGGGGACCCCGATATAGATCCCAAAATACTATAATCCTTATATTGGGGCCACCAAAATGATGCCCCTAATTTTGGGAAACCCTAAACCCTATGTGTCCCTATATATCCCTTAAAGAATCCTATGCATCCCAAATTTGTTCCAACATTCCAAATCCCTAAACCCTGCACCCTGAATAGTAGTTTCCATTTTCCTTTACTTTAGCACAAAATGAGGGGATAAGATTCCAACATTCAAACCCTCTATATCCCCTATAAGCCCTTTGAAAAGCTACCCCTAACTTGGGATAACAATCCAACATTCTGAGCCCTAAACCCTAAACCCTGAACCCTAATAGCAATCCAACATTCTGAGGCGTTGGCTCGGAATGGTGCCAGACCAGTGCCGAGCCCGGCCATGAAAATCGGGGCGGATTTGTCCTGCTATTGGGGGTTTCCTTCAAACCCGTACCTGTACCCCCCAAAGTTTGTAGGGTTTAGGGTTTAGGGTTTCCCAAAATTAGTGGTACGTTTTAAAGGGGTCATAGGAGGTTTTTATAGGGATATATAGGGTTGGGGTTTAGGGTTTGGGGGGGCGGGCAGGGGTGGGGGGAGCGGGGGAAGAGGGTGGACGGTGAGAGCTGCTGCCTGCTCTGTGCTCTCACCCCTCAACAGCCTTTGCCGAGGCAGTCTCGCGTTAGCGCGCAATTAGGTGTACCGTTTAAAAGGGGTTCTAGGGGATAAGATGGTTTTATAGGGATACAAAGATTAAAGATTTGGTGGCTGAAATTTGACCCATGGATTTCCCCAAATTGGTGTAATATTGGGATAATGACGGAAAAGAATATGGTAACCACTGTTTAGGGTTTCGGGTTTAAGGATATAGGCTATCTGGGGGTTTCCCAACATCAGGGGTACCTTACAAAGAGGTTATAGGGGGGTCCACTATTTGGGTTTCCAGTAATTCGGATTCTAGCAGTTGGGGGTCCTATATTGGGGTCCCCGCTTCTGCTTGGAACAGTAGTCCTCTGGGATCTGCATCACCGAGTGCGTAGCGTGGGCTATGCACACTGCACCAGGCCTTCTCGCTTTGCAAGTCCAGGATGAAAAAAGGATGAAGACTTATATCGTTACAATATTGGGGCCCCATAATAAGGATCATAGCATTTTGGGATCTATATTGGGGTTCTTCTATTTAGGGAAACTACCCTACATACACATATGTATATATATATATGTGTGTGTCTGTATATATATATATGTGTATATGAAAAATTGTTGTGCCAAGAAGCCTGAGGAAGGTCATAAAACTGGAGCACAAGCCAAACTTGGTATCTCCACCTGTCAGCTGCAAGACTGCTCATCACAACGCAGCTTGGCGTGATTCGGAGTGACAGGCCTTTTGCTTGCCAGTCCTCGCGGACAACCAGCAGCTGGCATTTGCCAGGGCGGAAGTCGCTCGAGGAGCAAATGGAATACACACCTGCCCGTCTCCCTGACTGAGGGATTTGCTGAACCCACATCAAAACACAGCAATTGTCAAGTGGAGACTTTGCTGGGAGTCACGCGCTGCTTGATTGTTGGGAGAAGCTCCACATACTTCGCTACCTTGCAAGCAGGTATCTAAAATGCTGGCCAATGCTGACCATCTTCTGTGGTCCTCCCTAATACGGCTCCAACGTCTGCTAAGCCGGCGGCAGGAATTTTGAGCCTGCAACAACAAGAACAACAGCTGTTCATGCGCTCGCGAGGTGTCATGCCAATGTGCCAAGTGGCGAGGGAAATTCAAGGATGTAATCTGCATAAGTGTAGGCACGTGCTTGACGATCCAGGAAATCCTCAGTTTTTCTTTCCAGCGTCAACTCGGCGATGGCAACCTTCTCCATGATGTCCTGCTAGCAGCGGTGGCATGCACTGATGGCATGAATGTATCATGATGTACCCATGCGGTCCTGGGCAAAAGGAAAAAGCTTTTTGAGGAATTCGCGGCTGGGTTTGCCGAACAAGTCCAGGTACTGTGAGAACATCTTGTAGACGGTCCTGGCAATCGCGTGCATCGACTGCGGCAGCGCCATGGTCAGGCTGCACGGCTTCAATAGCTTCTACTGCAGCATCTCAGGCCACCACGTGACAACGACAGTGCCATCTTCAGACTGTGGGGCAATTTCTTCGACAGAGACCAACTCATCCGGGTCAAGCTTCATTTTGGTCAAGAACTCGCTGACCTGCTCTGCACGCTCTGACACGACCCCTTCTGTTGCTAGTGCGCACCTTGTCTGCAGGGTTCAGGGCATAAACCGACAATGCTTTGCCCATGCTGCCATTCACCAGATGCTCCAGGCCAGTTCCCTTGACGTCCACCTGCTTGAAGACGAGCATATGATGCAGCGCGCACGATGGAATCTGAAGATGAAACGTGTATGGCCTCGATGTGGAAGCACGTGCGGTCATAATTGTCGGGAGTCAGCAACCTCCAGTCCTTCAAGCAGCAGCGCTGCGGCAACATCTGGAATGGTCATGAATGGTCACCCTCATCGTAGCATTTAAGAAGATGCATGGTCCGTCACACGCACCAGTTCACCCTGCGCGACATCCGGTCTCGCCCTCAGCAGTGCCTGGCAACGCTTGGCCCTCAAGCGTCCGGGACCGGTATTAGGCACCCAGCCTTGTACTGGGGCTGGAATGCCAGAAGTCGTGACAAGTCTCCCACCTGCCACTGCAAAGCACATGCAGCCTCCACTGAATGCAGCTGTTGAAAGTTGAGCGGTCCTTGTTGATCGTGTCCGCGTTGATTTCCCCTGCTTTGGTCTTGGCTTCCTGGTGATGCTTGTACGCCATGGCGGCTTTCTGAGCCTCGACCTCATCAAACAGGAGTGGTTCACGTGCAGATACTAACTGGCAAGCAAGCTTCGAAGCTAAGGTCCCAACCCCCATAATCTCCTTCGCTTTTGGCATGCCAACCTCAGCACGGCATGTGTGATCATCAATCCACAACCTGCGGAAGATGCGCTTTCTCCTGGCAGGTCTTAAGCGCTCGGCTAGCCATGCCGGCTGGAATGGACGTGTAGGAAGCACCAACGGCGAAGCGGCCTCCAGAGATTGCAGTAGGGGATATATTGAAGATATATAGGGATAATGGAAAAGAAAATGGAAACTACTATGATATAATAAGGTTATATAGGGCCATATAAGGCAAAAAAAATCCAACTAACATCGGCACTGCACCTCCTCGATCGTGGGCGCCATTAGTACCTAAAGCCGGGTTGCTGTTTAGGGACTTAAGTTAAGTTACCATAAAAGGGTATATACAGTCGTTGATATGGTTTCCCCAATATAATAACTTAAACTGAGTACCTTAACAGCAACCCAGTCAACAAAGATCCCAAGATTCACAACGAACGTTGCGAAGATCGTGCTGCCCCCCCCCTTTTAATTGATGGCCAAGCTGCGAAGCCGACACAGCTCGTTTTGTGGACAGGATGCTTAAAGGTACAAGGACTAAGCTTTGGCAAGGCATGCCATTAGGAGCCGAAATGCCCAAAATGCATAGTCAGGGTCATTAAGGCCCCACACTGCGTCATCTTCAAAGTACCTACTTGACAGACTCTACCCAAAGCTCGAGAGCTATCGTGATTCTTGGGTTTCATGTTCTGCAAACATATGGGGTCAGGGTGCTCCTTGCCTGGCTGAGATCACAGTGTGTTCAGAGAGGGCAGGCAATGCTACCGATGGTCCACTTGCACAGGTGCCTTCTGACACTGACTTGCTCAACAGCCACGTTGAAATCATCACTTTGAATTCAAAAACGTTCCCTTGCCATGGAGGTTCGAAGCATTACTGTAGACCGTGACAGCCCTGCCTGTTGCAATTGTATATTTTGACCATTTTTTTGACCATGCCGCCCCCACAGCGTTTGCAAGCAATAAAGCATTCAGCAAGAAAGCACTCAGCTTTTGCAGCCGGGAAGCGCCCCGCCGCTGGAAGCAGTCTGAGACGTTTGAGAATGGCTCAGCTCTGCAGCGATTGCACCGTTTTGGGCAGGCTTGATGTTGTTTCCGACATGCAGCTTACTCTCACAGACGTTGGCGAAAGCAACCGAAGTCATCCTCACGAACGCGAGACTTGCCCGAGATCAAAAAGTGCTGCATCAAACCCGAACCCTCCGCCCCCTCAAAGAACAAAACATCGCAAGTCAAGACCCTTGCACACGCAATCGCTCAGCAGACCTTCGCGGCCGGCGGGGCAAAAGTACCCGGGTTGCATCTAGCACATAGCCAGTTTGAACCGCAGAGGCAAGTCATCCCACAACACACTCAAAGCCATTGCGTGCTCACAACACCTAAATGTCTGGCCCTATTGGGCCTCTCACAATGCTCAGTCTATCGACAGGGCATGGCCACTGTTGAGCACGCAATATTGCAAGACATGACGCAATCAATACACAATCCTCGCTTGCAGTCACATCGCACTCAAAGGAACCTCCACCGAGCCTCCACCCTAAGCAAGGCAGCACTCTAGATCCCACTTTACTGCACGCGCGCGCGCGAGCATCCCACTGAACACGCTCGATTACAGAGCCCGCAGGCTCAGCGAGACCCTGAGACACAGCGTGACTGCAGGATGGATCTATGGCCGATGGAACAGGCAGCACATCCAATGAGCGCCACCAATAGCCTCCTGCTTATGAGGCTATATACCGCTATTGGAGATTGAAAATATCTTATTCGAAAGTGGCCCACCCATTTTGCATGCGCCAGAGTGTGTGATGCGGGCTCCGTGTGATTCTGATGGCTGGTTCTTAAAATGCTTCACATGGCAAGTGTGATTACGTCGCCTGCTGCAAGAGGCAGGGGACGTGAGAAGTGGAGAAAAGAAGTCAATGTGGTGGCATGGCAGAGACTACCTGCAGTGACCAGCTGTGCACGTCAGACTTTATTTCTGGCTTCATGAGAGCGAGGCTTGCAAAAGGTGGCTTCTAGGTTGCTATGTCGCTGAAAACCTCCTTGGCCTCCGCCTGCAGCGTCGGACCTGCGACCGCGTCGCAATCCCCCAGCAGCCTGGGCAGCCAGGGCGGCCCGCGTGTACGGCCATAGGCAGCGTCAAGCGATGTGCCTGCACACCGTTGTGAGCAGAGCGATGCGGCGTCGAGCTGCTCATGCGTAGGCTCGGCTGCCGTGCGAAGTGAAACTGTCCAACGAACAACTGCATTGAAGGTCAACATGATGGCGAGACCACGCACATGATGGCCAGTAAGGGTTGCCGTGCATGAATGGCATGTCAGCTATAAAGGCTGCATGCATTGCCATAGCTGCCATAGCTGCGCTGACAGGTCTACGGTACAGTCCAGTCGATGCCTTGGTACAGGCCAGCCTCAGCTCATCGGCTCATCCTCTCAATCTTGAGGCATATGCGGGATGGGACACACATCTCCACACATCTCCACACATCTCCACACTATCCTTAAGCTCAGGCTTGTCGTCTCATCCACATCCTGCCGGCTTAGCTGTTACCGCCTCTTCGACTGAAAGCTTGGTGCAGGGATGCCCAGTGCACGGCCTGCCCGTTCGCCTGGAAATTGGGCTGTCCTCCGCATGGTCCGCCATGGTGCTGAGCTGCCTAGCCCTTAGAGTCAAGAAGCTCTCTCTGACCCTGCGGCCTTTGGCTGCAAGAGAGAGGTCCGAAGTTGGACTAGACACTCACCCTGTATGATGTGGCAAAAGACCTCTTTTGCTGAGTTGGAACACATCCCATGAGGTGTCGCGCTGCCGGCAGATGCGTGGCATATTCCGCGCCCCTGGACCGCGGCAGACATCAAGGATTGTCAAACAGTAATCTGTCTTGCGCCAGCGCCGCAAGCAGCTTGGTAGCTGATGACCTCACACCTGATGAAAGGTTTGAAGCTGAAGCCGGCAAGAGCCACCCCAACAAGACAACGCAATGCACGGTTCTGGACCGCACCGTGGTAACTGCGGTCCGCCCCAACAAGGCAACGCGAACGCGCCGCAGCCTTAGTGGGCGCAGCATCATGTCAGAGGGCTATGGCAGGGCCTGTAGCGGACACGGGCAAGGCTTTGGGCAACGGGGTAGCAAGTTGAATGTGCACGTCAACCCTTCACAGCTTCCTTGCACGTGGCACTGAACCTCGCAGTATTTATGGCAACAACTTGCATGCAAGTGGGGGAGTTGGCGGTCGCAGCATCTGGCGGCTGCAAGTGCGCGCTGGTTTGCCGAAAAGTCTTCTTGGGCTTCTGTTCAGAAGGCCTGCTTTCAACGCCATGCCCCAAAGCTGAAAGCAGATGCCAACAGCGGCAGGTTGCGAGCCTGAAATTCTCACGGAGGGCTAGGGGCACGCATGGTGGCAGCGGAAAACGCTATTTAAATGTGGCTGGCCCCAATGCCGTAGGTAGCACGAGTGCCCTGCGAACCAAAGCATATGCCTCCTGCGTACATGGCATGGCTCGTACTGATGCAGCAAAGAAAAACCACCAGCTAGATCTGCGAGCCGCGACAAGAGAACCATCCGCTACATGGCCAGCCATTCGTCCAAGGGCACTTGAAGGCTCTGGACGGTATGGTTGCACAGCTCGAAAGACTGCGAAGATGGCATTATGCTGGCCTTAATAGCCCTGTTGCCACGTGTCCGCTTCAGTGTGCCAAGTCCCTCAACAGAAGGCAGATGCGCAGACCTCGAGAGGACCCGGCGTAGCTTGTTGGCTGAGCTGGCCTTTGAGACCTTTGAGCTTAACACCCAACACTGGTCCTCGGCCGCACGTGGCAGCGGGGCAAACATAGGAGCACACGCAGGCTCACAATACTGTTTGGGCACGTGTGGCAGTGAAAGCAAGCCCCTAGCTCCTGGCCCTGAACCGCTGGCGCTACTGAGGGAGCATGATGTGCCATGTTTTCGGCAAGTGGCTTCTTCGATGTGAGCGTTTGGCCTGCTTTCAACGCCATGCCCCA